ATCAGTATTTTATATAACAGGAAAATTATAATGGAAAAATAATATACAACTGTAAGAAAGAATACAATTATTTATTACACTACAGTAATAATGAAAGTATGGAGAACACACGACTGCTGGTTGCTAAAGTTCCACTTACACAAGGTTACCGGGAGGGGAATATATTGTGATATGATGCTTTTGCAATAAGAAATGAGAATACAAGGTGCACTTAAACTGCCTGCCTTCTACAGTTCACTTATATTGGTCTGGTAGTCCACTAAAACTTCGTCTACCTAGTTTTCTCCCTTCATAACAAAGGAATGATAAACTGTTGTAATACCTTCCCTTTTATCCTACAAGAAGACTGATGAACACAGAGTAGCATCACGTCTCCTCTAAACCCCCCCCCCAAAAAAAAATAACGATTCTCACAGATTTTATATTTTTACCATTAAAGGAACATACTAATCTTAAACAGGTATAGTTATGCTTTCTACATTAAAAATGGACACATTTTCTAAATACAAAAAATATTAAGTTCCTAGTTGTGACAAAACAAGTTCCTCTCATATTTCATTTTTCAAGCTCTATTAGAATTTGAGTCATATTAATCTGCAACAGCAGCACCTTGTTTCACCCAGAGATCTTATTATTCGCCTTCCCTTATTCAATCCTTGGTCAATTCCAGTGCTCCAAGAAAGCTCCAACACTGGAGACAGCCTCGTACCCCCCCTCTTACTCCTAACAGCTGAGATACAAAACATATTAGTGAGTGTAGTCTGACTCGACCTTCCTGGGTTTACCTTGTCGTCACAATATACACTACGCTATACCTCACCTCACATTTCTTGACTACCAGCCACTTTCAATAACCCATCACATTATCAGCACACATTACAAAAATTACAACACAAAAATTAAAGACTTAAAAATGTGAGAGAAATTTAGAGAGCGCGCAGAGAAGTGCGGACCATAGACATAACTCACTTGCCAACAAAATTAAGTTATTCTATAAAATAATATTAACTAGACAAAAAACATTACATAATAAGCTTTAATCAAACACTAAAGACATACAACTGTGTTTTCATTTTTTCCTTAAAACAAAATTCCCTTAAGAATTCAAAAGTTCTCTATTTTCTACAATAAACAGGCTCTTCCTTACCAATAAATATTATTTTCCTTGCTTCCACCCCCCCACACACACACACGTACGTATACCCCAATCTTTTCAACTCAATACAAAGGCAGTTTTAGCACACTTTAGTCAGAGAACTTGACAGGTGAGCCAACATAATGGTGCTCCATGGTATGTCCTCTCCTTACTACCACTTTCCCATAAAACTACCTATCTCCTCACCTCCAGATACCTCCACTGTTTTCCTATACTAGAAATGAAGTATTAGCATCTCACTGGCCAACTTACTAATTAACCGCCAAGGCTTAAGTCACTGGCTTAGACTACTTGCCTAGGAAAACAGCTCAAAGGTGAAGCGTTCTTTCAAGATACAAGCCATGTGAATATTTTCCTGACACGTCACATTGCTCCAACTCTGAACACATCCACCACCTTCCATCAACCTACAGTTAAAAAATGTCAGAGGCAGTGCTTTCAGTACGATGCTACACAGTCGCACTAACACATCGTAGAATCCTGTGGCCTGATGATGATGACAAAGCAGCCTGGACAACTGTCCCAGGGACCTCACTCCTCACAGGTAAACGACAGACTTCCACTTTGACATATTTCCACCCCTGGCTGGAAGGATAGCTATGGGCAGGCAGAGGCAATACCTTCCTCTTCTTCTTGGGGAGTCCAAGAAAAAGCACTTGGCACTGGTACACTGCTTGATACAGCATGCCACAGTTTTATTCAGAGGTGAGAAAACAAAGCGCGAGACCCTATCTACTCATGGGGCGACTGATGGTTAGGCGGGGAGGGGCGAGGCACAACTGAGCATGGCACTGGCTGAATTCATTCAGGTGGGTGAGTGACGGCTGCATAGGTCACAGGCTCTGAGGTGAAACCGGAGCCACCACACGAGTGCTGTTGGGTTGGGTTGGGTTGGGTGATGTGTGGTAAGTTATGGGGGATTCGTGGATGACCACTGGATTGGGTTACATCACATGCCGAGTACCTGTAAGCACACTTCCGCCAGATAAATTGTCACCCAATTCTCACAAGAGTCAACAAACCACTGTCTTCCCATACAACTTTATATCATTCTCCCAGAACTTTATTAAACAACAAACTTTATAAGATCAAGTTTTAAATCATTACAAACTTACTTGAGGTGTTTACAAGATGGAGAGAAACACAACCAGCTTGGTGTTCGCTAGTCCTTGACCATTACATGACTTGATGTAACACAGTCATCTGAGTGCCCAGCAAAGCCTCTTCACCGTTCCTTGAAACCTTCCCACTTTGTGTAAGAACTTACAGCAAGTCCTTCCAAATGAAATATTAGTTTACACCGACTTTAAAATTTCTCACTGCCCAAAGTGTCCTGGGCCCAAGACTGTTCAACAGCCTCCCACCAGCCATAAGGGAAATTACCAACAGGCCCCTGGCTGCAACTCGCCTCCAACAATTAGCTTGTGGTAACAATGACCCAATGTTAATTACTTTACCAACATTCTAAATCAGACTAATGGGTTGGAGTCATTTAAGAATCATCACTGGTGATCAACCATTCATCACATCCCGGGGAGTTTAAGAATCATCACTGGTGATCAACCATTCATCACATCCCGGGAAGTTTAAGAATCATCACTGGTGATCAACCATTCATCACATCCCGGGGAGGAGGAAGAGGCAAGTTGCGAGAACTCTTCTTAATCTTCCCATATAGCACTTTACAACCACTTAATCTCCACATACAGCACTTTACAACCACTTAATCTCCCCATACAGCACTTTACAACCACTTAATCTCCCCATATAGCACTTTACAACCACTTAATCCCCCCGTATAGCACTTTACAGCCACATAATCTTCCCATATAGCACTTTACAACCACTTAATCTCCCCATATAGCACTTTACAACCACTTAATCTTCCCATATAGCACTTTACAACCACTTAATCTTCCCATATAGCACTTTACAACCACTTAATCTTCCCATATAGCACTTTACAACCACTTAATCCCCCCATATAACACTTTACAGCCACTTAATCCCCCATATAGCACTTTACAACCACTTAATCTTCCCATATAGCACTTTACAACCACTTAATCTTCCCATATAGCACTTTACAACCACTTAATCTTCCCATATAGCACTTTACAACCACTTAACCCCCCCATATAGCACTTTACAGCCACTTAATCTTCCCATATAGCACTTTACAACCACTTAATCTTCCCATATAGCACTTTACAACCACTTAATCCCCCCATATAGCACTTTACAGCCACTTAATCCCCCATATAGCACTTTACAACCACTTAATCTCCCCATATAGCACTTTACAACCACTTAATCTCCCCATATAGCACTTTACAACCACTTAATCTCCCCATATAGCACTTTACAACCACTTAATCTCCCCATATAGCACTTTACAACCACTTAATCTCCCCATATAGCACTTTACAACCACTTAATCTCCCCATATAGCACTTTACAACCACTTAGGCATCATGTTATTTATAAAGGAAATTATAATGGGGCAAATATAAAAATATACCAGGAAATCCAATTATTTATTACATGAATAAGAGAAGTATGGAGAATACATAATTACTGATAAAGCAACACTTCGTTGTCAGGAGGGAATAATATAATGATATAAGGATTTATTACAATAATCTCTTACATTAACTACAAGACTTGGGAATACAAAGTATTCTAGCAACAGGTACGCTGACAGGCCTCTAGAGTTTACTTATGATCCTCAATTCGTTTGGTCCACCCACAACCTAGGCTTGTCCCTTTGTCTAGTTAGCTTGTATCCCCATAACGATGGTATAATAAACTCTTACATTACCTCCTACTTGCTTCAAGTGGATGTGTTGCCTTGAATCAACATCAACTTACTAATTTCAGGTCTTATGAGTCCTATCACATTAAATTTTATAACTGTGTATTGCCACCACTTTCACGTACAGGTCATTCAATTTTCCTACTAACTTGAAACAGGTGAATCAATTCTTAACATACCAGTTTCTTACCTGTTTTATCCCTGGGCCTCATATTTCAAACAGTCTGTCCCTATACACTATCAATATCTTTGAATATGTTGAATGTTTATATCATATTTCTCCTGCTCATTCTCTATTCCAGAGTTGTCTACCTACCTAGAGGGTATTCGGGGGGTCAACGCTCCCGGGGCCACATCCACGACTAGGCCTCCCGGTGGATCAGGGGCTGATCAACTAGGCTGGTTCAGTTCCTTTAGTCTCCCCAGTAATAATGAACATCCTCAGCACCGGAACAAGTATGCTTGCAAACTTCTGTGCTCTTTAAAATTTTAGAATGTGTTTGCTCAATTGAAAGATGCACGCCTGTACTCTGCCTGTACTCTGCTACCAGCTGTCCTCGGCTTCACTTAATTACACAACCTTGCACTTATTATTATTCAGCTCCAGTCACTTTGTTTGACCAACCCTGCAATCATTCTAAATCACTATATCTTCCGGCAAATCATTTACATATATCAGGAACAGTATTAGCACTAATGCTGAGACCTGGGGAACCCCACTTGTTAACTTGGCCCACAATGATACACCCTCCTCCACTGCTACTGTCTTTTGTCTTTTAAATATTCCACAACCCACTGATGGATTTTTTTCTTCCACAACCACCCCCCTGCCCACCACCACCCCCCTGCCCACCACCACCCCCCTGCCCACCACCACCCCCCTGCCACCCACCCCCACCACCCCCACCACCACCGCCCACCACCACCCCCTGCCCACCACCACCCCCCAGCCCACCACCACCCCCTTCCCACCACCACCACCACCTCCCACACAACCATTTCCTCCCCACTGGTACAAACAATACTCACATAATGAGGTGGGTGGTGCAGGCCTCTCAC